ACACTTCTCTTGATAATTTAAAAGTATTTCTTAATCAAGTTAAATGGTCTCAGGATAATTCTCTAAAACATGTACAGCTGTTGCAGTGTGAGTGGTCGTCTCCCTTCCCCACTTCAGGACAACAAAATTCACACACCATGTTAATGTTTGCTACTATTTATTTACCAGTACCAAGCACTTACCAGACAGGACTTCAGGTCATGATAAATGACACCCTCAATTTTAACAGGGCTCTCCAAAGTATGCCTACCACCAGCCCAGCCTTCAAGCAAATCCTGGCAGTACAAGCCATTTGTAAACATCAGATGTGTGGGGCAGAAATCCTAACTAAGAATGCCAACCCTTTGGTCACTGCTACCACAGTGCCACCTCCTGTCTTGTGACTCTGGAAGCTTGAATCAGAGGCAGCAGTCGATAAAGGAAACAGAGCTAAGAATAGCAAGGCTAAACCATCTTTCCGCCTCTCCTTCCTCCCAGACCAAACCAACTGCCAGAGTTAGTGAATGGATAATTCATACCTTTCAAAAATTAGTTAGTTTTAAGAAAGCTGTTGCCCGGATGCTGCTAAGGACAATTGCAAAAGAGTCCCTCACAAAGATGGAGGTGGTTCAGCTGGTTCAGCAGCGTCACTTAATTCAAGATCCCAGTCCTGTGACAACAAGACCAGGGCAGCAGGGCTCACAAAGGCTTTCAAAGCATGGAAAGACAATTTTCCACACTGACTGCCTGAAAGTGGTACACAGGAAAAAGGCGGGGAAAGCTACTGAACTACTGAACTGCAGAAAATTTCAAGTCAAGCTCCTTAGAGAGAAAACATCAGATCTCTATAATTCCAAAGATACTTTTAAATTTTAAGCCTATCTGAGAACCCATTTGCTTCCAGAAAAGTGGCAAAACCTCAGAACAAATTACGCTCTGTGGAGTTGTCACAACGGCATCTGGCCTGAGCAGAGTCTCAGCAACCACACAGGTCAAAAGCAAGAGCCAAAATCAGAAGCCAGGTTCCCAATTCCCACTGGCTCCGCAGAGATATCATATTTCAGTTACATTTTCCTCGGGTTGCTATGAGCAAAACATGGTAGAAGCTACTTAGCATTTCCTTTCTAAAAAGTCTATTAAGGCTAAAGTAAGAAATCTCACAAATTCTTTCTAACTGTATCAAGCAAATAGGAAATTAAAAAAGAAAAAAAAATCCCCCCAGCCACAACCACTTTAACTAACAGTCACATAGGCGATCTTAAGTTATGCACTCAAAAGATAATTTTGCTCCAAGTTCTTTCCCAACCAAGTTCCCTAACCTTAAACCTCTACCATCTGCATGTGTGAGAAATTCCACAGATCAAAAGAGAGCCTCATCTGTCCCACACCATACGGAAGAACTATACCTGTGTCTCAATGGTCAGCATTGAAAACAGACTTTGCCAACCTAACACTTTGAAGCTGGCCCACAGCGTGTAGTTACCACGCCCCCGGCTAATGGGTATGCTGTATTGTTCCATGCTAAACAGCCACTAAAGCAACATACTAGCTTTTAAATAGCCAATTACAATGGGATGAAACCCCAGTCATTTCTGTAATGTTCTACTCAGCTGACATCATGAGACAAGGTTCCCTTTATCTTCTTATTGACAAACATGAAGTACTTGAGCTTTAGGACCACAAACTATTTTCAAGGATCCTTCTCGGTACACATTAACTATAACATCCTATAATTTCTCTCCTTTATTCAAATATTCATAACCAAGGTTAAGAACTAAATCACAAGTTTGATCAAATATGAGTAGGTTGTGAAAAACTGAAAATATAAAAAAAAAAATCAAGAATCTGTAAGGCATGGAAATTTAACTGAAACCACCATGTCTCAGTTCTGCAGTGTCAGCAACTCTGCCGTTCCCTCTCCCATGCCCAAGAGCCCACAACATAACACAAACAGGGCAGAGTACCGTTTACATAAGCACACAGGGCGTCCAGAAGCCCTACAGACACCAGTGGCTCTTCCAACCACTCTCCTCCACAATCCTTCCTAGGTGAAACTCTTTCCTCACTCACCTTATGTCCAAGAGGGAAAAAAAAAAATTAGCCCTGATCTGGAAGCTATTCAGCCTTCCTATGCTGTATCCTTTGAATTTGGGACTGAGGGTGTAACATCCTCTCAGAACCCAAAGCAATCATCTCTTCTGGACACAGGCATCCTCAGGCCCTGTGCACTCTGCTGTAATCTACAACAGAGGGGCATCTGAATGCAGAAAAGCCACATTCCTTCCACATTCCCTTGAGACTTCAGTAATGGGGAACTAAGCTTGGTTTGAACCAAACTCAACAATACCCCTTCCTGAAAGGGTCCCGCCCAGCTCAGCTTGCAGTGAGAGCTGCTAGGCTAGCCTGCAAAGCATCCAATCACCTCTGTGCCTGCTTCCCTGGGCGTCCATCTCAGAGTTACGCTAGAAGCATTCCCCAGCACCCGCTTCCCAGCATGCCTTGCAAACAGGTATAAAGGTCACTACCCTACAAGTGGGCGTGCCTGCCTCAGATGCCCACATCATGGTGGAAAAATGACTGCTAAGCAAAACAAACTCTGTCTCAAAGTTCAGCCGACTATCTTGGCAATCTATTGATCTGACTGAGTTGTGCAATCAGCTCCTATCAAAGTAATCCACCCCAGAGTCACCTCTTAACCTAGCCATAGGTATGTGAGTGTATGGTTGCCAGGTCAACTCTTGGCCTTCTTCCAGAGCCCATGGAGATGATGGAAGAGTCCAGATAAGGAAAACGGCACAACTTAAAGGCTCAGTTAAAACTGAATCATCGTCATCTAGATGAACAGTAAATTTCCCAGGCAGCTAAAGAAGGCTCTACTTAAAGACATTTCAGTAAAGGATTTGCAGCACTCAACTGCTCTCAAGTCAAAAACAAAATGTATGCAGTTTACTCTGTTCTGCTAGCAAGACAGCATTTAAAATCCTAAGCATTTTAGTAGTGAAAACAAAAAAAGCTGGAAAAGCTTATTATTATTACATTGTTAATAAACTGAAGACCCTTCCAATAAACATTTGCTCCCACTTGCTACATCTGTCTGCTAGCTTTCCCAAAGAGGAAGCCTGCCCATTCAAAAGTAACAACTAACTGTTTTCAGGCTAAACAAAACTTTGAGAAGACTAGCAGTTGTTACCAAAGTCTCTAAATTAATTCTCCACACCTGGGAAGACATTAATTCCTAAAAGAAAGAGCGGAGGGCACAGTAAATGGAGGTCAATCTATTAACTGCACCTGGAAAAACTCGAAACATCTAAATGTTTTAAATTCTAAAAGGTTCCTTTGATTATAATCATTTGCCCTTCCTGGCACTGAAATCCAAGGCCTCTGATATGGTAAGCAAGCACCAAGCTACAACACCATTTTTTCTTTCTTTCTTTCTTTTCTTTTTCTTCCTTTCTTTCTTTTTTTTTTTTTTTTGCTTACTTTTAATTCAACAATTGATAAAAACCAAGAACTGGGGATGTAGCTCAAGTGTAGAGTTCCTGCCTGCAAAAATGAAGGCCTGGATTGATCCCAAGCACAGGGGAGAGAAAAATCAATAAAAACGAAGATACACGGACTAAGCATGAAACCAACTAGCGTGTGTAGAGTATGTTTCATTTTTTCAAAGCCGTTGATGCACAAACTAGGTCTCTAAACTTCTTAAGGGCACATGCTTTGTCCCTCAACTGTTTACATTTCTATGAAACCAATATCAACTTAATACTTTTTATCCACATCTATTTTAAAAGATTTTAAAAAAAACCTGATTACATTCTACTATATGAAATAACTTGACCCCTACCAAAATTCCTTAACTGGAACTAAATCAGGTTCCTCAAATATCTTTCTAATTATCTTAACGAAAATTAAGCAAGTGCTTATATAATCTACAAATATCCACACCAGTTTATTCCTAAAACCAGAAATGTGAAATGATCCAGGGAAGAGAACTTCACTCAAAACATAGCACATAAGGCATCTGACTGTAGCATATAGCATTCTTCCTGCCCTCTGTCTCTACGGGCAAATACGTTCTGTCCCCCAGAGCACACGCTAACAAATACTTCACCAGATACACACAGCCCTGGTTTGAATTAACTTCAAGCTTATTGTTTGGCCCAGGTTAGGAAAGGGGGGTGGAGGACAGAAGAATAAGACAGAAACCCTAACCCCACCTTGCAAAACCCAGAAGGGCATAATGCTAACCCCTCGGTCTTTCCAGTTAAGAGTTAGAATCCAGAAACGGCCTGTGCCAAGGGGGAAAAAAAAAAGAGCCACTTCTCCAAAAAGCTTCAGCAGTTAAAACAGCCTGCAAATATTTGTAAAGTGACAGCTACAGATGCTCTCAGAGAAATCCCACTGCAGTAGCACAGATCTCCTAGCCTTTACCTTGGCGGTTATTTGTAAGCAAAAACACACCAAAGGCAGGAGGAGCTGAACAAAGGCACTGTTTGCAGAAACTTAGAAGTGTTTGAAAGGCTGCAGGACCCCAGCATTCACTCTCTGTACTCCAACGGCCGCTGACTGGCCAGTGAACCAGGGCAAAGGCAACTGTGGTCCTCCTCTCTCAGAAGCGCCCACCACCCGCGGACCAGCCTCCCCGCCCCCCCACACACACATTCGTCCTGACCCAGTCTCCTAAATCCCCTCGGTACCCAAAGACTGTTTTGCCCTTTGAAACGCGGGTTTCCAGTTGAAGCGACTAGACTTGCTCTGACAAGAAACTGTAGCTGCGAGAGTGTCCCGACAGGCTTTTATAACAGCAACAATAACCCAGAAGCAGGGGCCGCAGACAAGCCCTCGATTGCTTCCCAGAATTATCAACGCGCACACACACCTGCCATAAACTTAAATGCAAGAGGGAAAACAGCAAGCTGAACCGCGGCCCCCAGCGTGTAAGCTAGAGTGGTCCTAAATTTTCATCTTCTGTGTTCAGCGCTTTTCCCCCTACAAATCGGTGAGAAAAGGGTAACTCGGCTCACCTCTGCCGTTTGGGCACCGAGTGCTCAACTTCCATCGGTTTCCCGTGCAGTTCCATTTTACCTGTGGACACACAAGAGGCGAGACGAAGGGATTTAGCGGCTCTCCCCGCCTTGAAACTTGCAGTCTTTTAAGAGAAAACACAGCTCGCTTCGGGGACCTCCGAAGGGCTCCAAGATTCCCACCAGGCTCAAGGACAAGGGAGTCGCAGGGCACCGCAAAGGTGCGGAGCTGACCCCTCGGGTGGGTGTGGCTTTTTAACTTGCAGAAGGCTAAGGCAATAGTCAGACTCTCAGCACTTGGGTTACATTTTCGCTTCCAGACCCCCTCAGAGGGCCACCCAGAAACCCACGGTCTGCTAAAGGGACACCCCCAACAGACAGCCTGCGATGGGGGCGCGCGGCCTTCTTCCTGGTCCACGTCCAGGCTGGCCTGGAACACTGGGCGGAGGGATTGAGAAGCCAGGGTGCCAGGAGGAGCTGGGGCGGCCGGGGTGCCGGTCAACACGCGCTGGCCAGGCAAGGCGCCGGCCTCGAGTCCAGCTGGGAAACCGAAAGGCACCGCAGTGGCTCTCCCCTCGGGCATCCGGGCAGAGGCGTCCGGGCCCGGACCGCGGCGCCGCGCGTGGCAGGGCTGCCGTTCTGGCGACAGTCGGCCGCCGCCGCCCACCTGCCCCTTTCGCTCTACCGACCCCGCGAGAGGGACGAGGCGGGGTGGAACGGGACCGCCTGGACGCGGCCTCCCTCGGGCGTGGGGCTGAGGCCACTTTCTGTTCTCCACCGCCGGGGGACAGCGGGTAAAGAGAGGGCCCAGCGGGCGTCCACGCTGGGCCCCGAGGCCCGCCTGGCCCGGCCTGCAGCACGCGCCGCGCCCCGGCGGCTGACAGCGCGTCTACCCCCCCCTCCCCCGCAATCCCGGCCCCGGGTGGCAGCTGCGGCGACGGGGACGCCCAGACCACGCGCTCGGGCCCCACCTGAAAGCGCCTCGATGGCCTTGAGGGCCCAGCCCTCGTCCGGGCAGTCCACGAACGCGTAGCCCGTCTTCACCAGGAAGGGGCCGGCCACTGGGATCTTAGCGTCCTTGAAGACACTTTCCAGGTCCGCGGGTCCGGCGTGGTCGCTTAGATTCCCGATGTACAATTTGTTCATTGTGAAGAGAGGTTGTTTTAAAAACAGAGGGAAATGCTAAATTAAAAGAACCCACGGCGGTGGATGGAGTCGGTGGGTTTTGTTCCTCTCGTCTTGCCTTTCAAACCCACACACAGTGACCCGAGCACCGGAGCGGAGGGCGAAAACCAGAACCCAGGGTCCTTTTTCCTCTTCTGGGTATTAAAAAAAGAGAGAGAGAGAGAGAGAAAGAAAAAGCCTAGCGACGAGCCCAGCGTCGAGTCTTCCTAACTCTGGGGAGGAGGCGGGATTAGCGAGAGAAAGGAGGAGGCGCGGGGGGGAAACTACTTTTTGTCTCTTCCTCCCCAACCCCTTTGGCAGCGGCCAGCGGGCTGTGAAAATATCACACTACGTGGGGCAGGCGCCGCCTCCCCGTAAAAAACCCCGAGGGGTGACTGGCAGCGGCGGAGGGAGTGGGGCGGGGGCAGCCGCTCCGAGTGTCCGGCTTTTTGAATGAGCCACGTGTTCAAACTACAAATCAACGTCTCACGTGAGGAATCCCAGCGCCTCAATTAGAGTGGGTTTCGGAGGAAAGAAAAAAAGCGAGAGAACGAGAGGGGGAGGGGACCCGAGCTTGGACCAGGGACCCCGAGCTGGGGAGGGGGCGGAGAGCGGCGAGCCGCAGCAGCCGGCGCGGGCCGCGGTTGGCACGGCGAGTTTCGAAAGGGTCCGAGCTTCGGGAGGGCCAGGCGGTCGATTCGTTTTTCTTAAGACGAGGAAACGGTTAAGGGGTCCCGCCGTTGCAGTTACCGTAGTTTTAACCATCCGATTTTTGAAAAATGGGTCACTTAATAACGAAACCTGAATGACAATCTCGAACTCTCAAGCGGTGGCTTTGGTGACGAGGAAAAGTGGAACCCCGGGGCAGAGCGCAGCTCCCCTCGCGGGCCCCGGGCACCGAGCGAACGGGGCGGCCCGGGCGGGCGTGGGGGAGGGGAGCCGGCGTCCTGGGCGGGTGTCTGCGCGACACCTCCTCCGCCTGCGCTCCGGGTGGCTCTCCGCCTCGCCGCTCATTGGCTGCTCGGCTGCGAGAAGGCTCTGGATAAATGAGGACGGGGGCGGGCTGGCCGCGTGGGGGAGGGGCGCGGGGCGGAGGCTGCGGGGCTAGGGGTGGCCGAGTGGGAAAAGTCGGTACTTAAAGGGAAACCCTCGCTTCCTGTGGTTTTTTGAAGGGGGGAGGGTCGGGGAGTACTGCTACTTTTATTTAAATAATTTTAGTTTGAGAACTTGGGACTCTCATGGAACCCCGCTCAGCGTCAGCCCTCGATGGTGGCCGCGCTAGGGAACTGTTCCTCGGCTCTTTCTGCCTTCCTTTGACCGTGCGAGCCATTCATTATTTTCCCTGTAGGTAATGCGCACAATGGTGGTTGGGGGGGGGGGGGGGGTTGGGTCTGGGCCCGGTGGAGCCTTCCTAAGCCTACAAAATGTGAGCCGGAGAACAAGAATGAGGAAAAAAGGCAGTGTCCCTGTCCTTGTGGGCACCTTCGACTGTGGTTTAATGGTTGTGTGCTCTACTCAAAGGCTTCACAAGATAACTTGTGGTATATTTTCAGCAGGTATTTTAATGGATTTTGATGACCAAAATTAAGTTCTTTGTAGCCTGGAAATAGACAAAAATCTAATGTTTTGCTACTCTTACTGGTAGAAACATGTGAATAGAGAAAATGTGTGCTTCATACTTCAAACGTCTTCAGCAGTTAACTTGATATGCTGTGCTTCTCTGTCAAAAACCTTATAAACACTTTGAAGTGTTCCTCTCAAAGAAGACGAGTAGCAGTTTATTTTCAAACGTGGGATTGTTGTACGAGCTAGATTATTTGCATTTTGTCTTTTAAAAGGAACTTACAATTTTGTGTTAAGTAACCGGAAGGTGTCAGATCATCCATTTTAAATGCAACTGTTCTTTCTAACAGGTTTTTCTTTCCTGCCAAGTAAACCCAACCCAACTGTATAAATGTAAACAGTATTTTCACCTAAGCTCAATTCAGTAAAATGGTCTTGTGAGATGGGGCAAACGTGTACTTTTGACACGGTGTTTAAAATTATTGGAAATCTGGAAAGAACCCTTTGGAGGTGAAATTTTTCTTATGGCTAACTTTAGCTATCTAAAAAAAAAAAAGAGCTGTTCTTCGCCTTCATATTTTTTGAAAGAAAAACGGATCTCAAGGAAAATATGTATTCCTTTTAGCTTCTGTGGCATTCAGAAGTATCAGTATAAAATTTGTGAATTTATTTTTGTAGTACTTCATCCTGTGTTCAAAGCCTAGTTGGAGAAATATGTTTTTATTGGTGATGTTAGCTTTTCTGAAATCACTTTGAGCCTGATCACATAACTTAGCAATTTTTCATAACAACAAATTGATCAGTTTGCTATCAAATTAACTGTGTTTGGTTTTATTTTTTAAAAAATGAGACCTAACGAAATAACTGCTTTAAAAGCATGGGATAAATTATTTTTCTATAAATATTAGCCCATGGTTGACTGTCACTGTCAAACAAATCCTAACAGCTGGAATTTAAACCAAGTGTGTGGTGTTTTGATGAATATGTTCCCTGTCTTCTGTAAATTTAATGTTACTATTGTAACAAACTGAATACTCTGCCTAGGACCTTAACACTCCAGTAATAGAATTCAAGCATCAAAAGGGGAGGTGGATACAGCCCCCTTTCAATTCTCTAAGCATTTGAGGGGTAAGTATATACTCCGTGGCAAAATTTAAGAAAAATAAATAAAACAAAAACAACTGTTGTTAGCTTTTCGAACTCAAAAAAATAAACCCAAAACAAAAAACATCTTTCATTACTTTTCTAGAAACAATATGAAGTCAGTCAGTGTGACTTTAAATTCGTAAATTATGTAGATGCTTTAAAGAATTTTCTCTCATTGCTTGTAAGACTACTCCAGACTTGAGCAGTTCTAAGTCCCTAATTAATATCCACTCCACGGAGGAAGGACTCCCACCCAGCTGTTTACCCATTCAACAGCTGCACCTTTTCTGCTGGGCTGGAAAAGTAAAAATGGTTGATATGCCTAGAAGGTTCGTTATGGTTGCTGTATCCGGGCTGTGAGCTGAGCTGGGTAGGCAAAGCAGAGGGAGGCCCTGGGGCTCTCTGGCCCCGGCCTGATACCCTCGCGCGGGTGGGCACCTTTCACTCTTCCCGAGAACCGCTCCCCTGAACTCACTCCCTTCAAACCAGCAGCGAGATCCGGGACCTGACTGCTCTCGCTCCAGAATCTGTCACTCCTATCTGTATTAAACATGGTGTCCGGGAACAGAAAAGATGGGTGGTTTGTTTCCTTTCTCCAGCTCCGCGCAGAGCGGGCGAGCCCCTCGAATCGCACACTGGGGAAGGTCCTCGTCGGCCACTGCCCGCCCTGGAGCCCTGACCATCCGGCCGCATCCACGCGTGGGGCCTGCGAGTGACTCGCCAGGAAGGCGCGCGCTCGAGGATGCTCGGTCCCCACCAAAAGGGAACGAAGGCAGGGGCGGGGCGGGCGGGGCGGCCGCCGACGGCGCGGAAAAGCGGCCTAGGGCGGAGCTCCGAGCTGACCCGCCGCCCCGCAGACTCCAAACCCGCACCCAACGCCGGGGAGGCCCCGCCCTCGCCTGGGCCGCTCGCCCATTGGTGGAGGCAGCGAGCCTATCGTCGGCAGCGGCCGCCGCCGGAGTCTTCGCTGGTCTCCACCCATTGGCCCTCGGGCCGCCCCTGTATTTGCATATTTTGTGGCGCGAAAATAACCCTTTGCTCCCTTGTTGGCTGGGCTGTGGGTGAGGGGTGGGCTTCCGCTCGCAGCGCCCTGCTCTTTAACTGCTCGCCCCGGTCCGCAGCGCGTGGTGCGCGGGGCTAACCTGGAGGGCCGGGGTCCGCACGCGCAGTGCCGCTGGACTCTTCCTTTAGGTCTTCCAATGTAGCCATGCCCCCCCCCCTTTTTATTCTCATTTCAAAGACCCGCAACCAAACGTTCCCAGGTGCCTGAATTTAACTAATCTAGAGACCTCGTCCAGCCCCCTCCTTGCCCAACCCCCATTGTGGTCCGCAGGGTTGTTTTAAGCAAAACCAAACAACCTGCAAAAAAGAAAAAAAAAAAAGCAAACGAAAAATTCCGGGTAAAATCATCAGCTCTGCCGGGACCACGTTGAGGCTGTGCTAAGACCGGTGAAGTTGAGAACGACCTTGAAGGAGTAACGGTTTCTGTAGCTGAAATGTACTAATTTCACTGACGTTTGGTGGAGACGGTGAGAAAAAATAAATGCGAAATTGGCTTGGAAAAATACGAAACAAACGAAATAATCATAAATAACTTCAGTAGCCGAGAAGGTAAACATACACAATGTGTGAGTTAGGTGCTGGTGGGTTTGTGTTTATAAATAAATTTCTATTTTTTTTTCTCAAAAATACAACGATCAAAACTCTGGTTGTGACAAAAGAAGGAAGTATAATTTTGTTTGATGTGTCTACATTCATAAAATACCTTACCAATCTTTATCTGGAGGGAAAAAAACGAACCAATTAGAAAAATAACAAATTTATCCGCAAATAATTTTAATTATTTTACGGTCTTGTCAAGGGGGGTGGCTCGGTTTAGTTAAAAACCGGTAAAAGATTATTCTTCAAATATTTAAGACTTTGAAGAAATCGGTTTAAATCAGAACGATCAAAGAATTTTCTGTGTATTGTGAGCTTTCAGTTGCTGTGGGTCACATTATCTTCATGTGCTTTTGAGGAAACTGTTTAGTTCTTTACTGTTTAGATCTAGACTCTAAAATCGAATTAAAGTAACAGACTAACAAACTGCCATGTACCATAGTCTTGTAGCTGTTATTTAAGTAGCTTTTAAAAATAAATTTTAAATAACTGAGTTGGTTAAGAACTTAGAAGTAATGATTTCAGGTTTTGTTTAATTCAACCACATGTCACTACTGTGGCTAATAGATGGTGGTTTTTATGTAAAGTCACTCAGCAAGAGTCACAAATGGTTTGAGATGAACAAACTGAATAAAACTTAGAGACTGAATTTAAAGTACAAAGCTTAAAAAAAAAACTTGGTAAAAATCTTAAAAAGCCCATATCTGAGAAATTTTAAAACAACGCAATATACAAAAAACAATAATAATTTTT